GTGTGTGTGTGTGTGTGTGTGTGTGTAGGTGATGATGGTGCGGGCTGGGGCGGTGAAGGAAGACAAACAGGAGCTGTCAAGGTGAGAATCCGGAGGTTTAACCTAAGCCAGCATTAAAACCGCTCAGGGAGAAGCCTGCCCCCGGCATCCATCAGTCCTCAGATTTTGGCGAGAGGGCAAGGAGCCCGGCGATTATGGTCGGAACTCGGCATCTGCTGAGAAGGAGCGAGTGCAGGGCTCCGGCCAGGGCAGCAGTCAGCAGAGCAGGCATCCTACTGTACTCTCCAAAAACCGAGGAAGGCGAACCCTTTTAGCTTTGGCATCGAATTTTTGTGCCTTTGAAGGGGCAGACGCCTCTCCCAGCCCCACTCCCTCCATCCTGCCGCCTTCCCCCAGGTGCCTGCGAGGTTAATGGTGGAAAAACTGATCCGGCCCCCGGGGAGGGTAAATAGATGGAATGCTCGTGTCTGGAGAACTTGTTTGTTCTCACTCACAAGTGCAGAGAATTAATTTGGGCCCGACTTCGGCTGGAAGGCAAACAGGACCAGAGGGCTGGGAGGCGAGGCGGAGGCTGGTGCAGACCCGCGCGGCGAGGTTCCCCGGCTGCTGTGGCTGTGGCGCGCTGCTCTTTGCTCCTCCGAGCTCACGGAGCTTCTGGAGGAGGCGCGGGACCCCAGGAGCATCTTGTCTGGAAACCCGCATTCAGAACACAATGGAACCCTTCTCTCCTCAGACTCCGGGCAGTGTTTATGTCTGACGCCCCGTCTCTTTGCTAAGGGCGCTAGGAGGGAGGCGCCTCCTGCCCTGCAGCTCGGGCGGAGATTCTGGCTGCCTGAGGCCCAGAGGCGTCAGGGGGCGAAAGCCTCTTCTGATTAATGAATACATTTGGGTAGCATCTGCCATTCGGCCCCCACTGCAGAAGGAGGAGGAGCACTGCACATGCTCCACCAGGGCTGATTGTGCTGAGGCGCGAATTTGAGCTTCTGGCAGGTTTCTGCTCCTCCTCACAGCACGTTTTCAGCGGGTTCCAAGCTGCCAGTGCTAACAGGGAGGTTCATGTTATTATTTGGGCAGTGGCGTCTTTCTGCAGGAGGGAGGGCTTCCCCAAAGGGAGCTGAAGGCGTTTGAGGACAGGGAAGGAAATTAATAGAAGCAGTACTTGCTCGGCTCCAGTGTTAGCCATTTTATATAGTTATCTTTTCCTTCAGCCCTGGGTGTATTAGCAACCACTGCTAGTATGTTTATTTCTTTATCACTTTATGTTGGTTCCTTTCCTTATCTCTTGGCTTCCCCCGACACACCTTGGAATGTTGGCAGGGCAGATACGACTACTCAGGGTACGGAAAGGAGGAAGTAGAGGCCCTGAGAAAGGGCTGGTCTGGGCTCACCAATTTACATGTGGAAAGGCCAATATCATTTATACTGGCTTCTCTATCATGAGAATTCAATAAATCCTCGGTAGCACTGGAACTAGCAGAAAGAATCAACAACTGGGGTTCATCTTATTAAAAAGCTTCTTCACTGCAAAAGAAACCATCAACAGAACTAAAAGACAACCTACAATGCAGGGAAAGATTTTTACCACCTGTTCCTCAGATAAAGAACTCTTATCTAGAATATATAAAGAACTCAAAACAATCAGCCCCCCCAATAAAGGACCAGATTCAAAAATGGGCATCTGAAATGAAGGTCCACATAATTTAAAAGGCCAAGATCATACAGACTGCATCACTCATCAAAATAGAATAAGGACAAAATTACAACAAAAATTTCCTTATTAATATACAATTGAAATGTAAAGATGCTTAAGATCCGGATTAAAGGGAGGCACAAAGAAGCAATTGCAAATACTATTAAAATTTCATTTTAATTGTACAAATTTATGGGGTACAGTGTGATAATTTGATACATACATACAGTATTATAAAGATTAAATAAGAATATTTAACGCATTTCCTTGTGATTTTAAAAATCTTTGATCAATACATAGTAATTGTACATATTTATGAAGCACAGTGTAATAGGAATCTACAAACTCTTTAGGAGCAGAAGAAAAACAGAAACATTACATAAAAATATTGGGAGAGTACAGAAACTTATGAAATAATATAACATGAAATTTATTTATTCCAATTTTGGTTCTATTGCTTACATATGATTGAACAGTGAATTATTTATATATCATTTAATGTATTTATTGTAATACAATATATAATCTAGGAAAAAGGATAAATGGAAAAAGAATTATGTCAATAAATAAAGATAAAATCAGAAATTAATAAAATAAATTTTAAAAATTTGGGAGACCTCATAGTAAAAGAAAAAAAGTTATTTTCTAAAGAAGTTAGAAAACAAATTATAAAAAAAAATCAGGACATGGAGAAAATACAAATAACACTAGAAGACAAAGATTACATATAACCAGAGATAAGGTTTAAAAACAAACAAACAAACTGCAATTGATGTTCCAGCTCCCCCCACAAGAAGAGGATTCTGTTGTTGCTGATTACTAGAATTTGTGAAATAATAATTATCACCATGGCTTATGTACATGGGAATAAGATTTGAAGAACAAGGCAGAATTTAAGAGTAGAAGTGAGGTTGGGTAAAATAAATAAAATTAAGTAGAAAGGAGACCAATAAATTAAGAATTAAAAGTATACTTTTAAGAAAAACTGTAGCTTCAAGACAAGCTCTTTTTTTTTTTTTTCTTTTTTTTGAGTAGGAGTACCTTCCCATGGGGTTAAGATATATCTTAAATTCTTAATTCTTTTTTGAGCTACCTGAGCCTTTAATGTGGATACACAATATTTTATAGCCCCTAAGAAATTTAAAACTTTAATATTATTTTTTATCAGAGTCTAGCTTCATAAAGCTATAAATAAGATCACTTATTTATTGGAGCAGTGCCTCTTTTTTTTTTTTTTTTTTTTTTTTTTTTTTTTGGTACCGGGGCTCGAACTTGGGGCCCCTGCATTTGTGAAGCAGGTGGCAAAACCACTGAGACAAATCCCCAGCCCATCTCTTAAGGTTAGAGACCTCAATTTTTTTTGCCAGAGCATTTTTAAATAAGGGAGGGCAGCCTTTGAACCTCTGAGACAGGACTGTTCAAGTACATTGAGGCAGTTTTCATAGTATCGGGATCAGTCTACTTAAAAACAATCAGATATTCTGAGTCAGGATATAACATGATGTAGGAAAAAAAAGTATCTTTAATGTCTAAGACAATAAACCACATAGTTTTACTTGATACCTGGGTTAAAATAGTATTTGGGAAAGAAACTATAGGATGGAGTAGAATTACAGCTTTATTAATAGCTCATAATATGGGACTAGTTGATATTTTTAATTTGGTTTTAGTATTGGAAGGACGGCCACTGCACAGGGCCTAGCATAAGACCAAAACACCACCATGCTTGAGGAATTTAGAAATCTGAGGCTGAATCCCCTGGCTAGTCTCTGGTTTAATAGGATGTTGTCTTTTATGAGGACAGTTTTTTTGAGTCATTTAAGGAAATGACAATAGGCTGGGGATGAATTGCCCTTTTGGGGGTTTTAGTATCTCAAACCTTTGGATCTATCAAAACTTTTTTTGGTGTGTCTCTAAATATATTATCTTGTAGGGCTGATATTAATTTTTTTTTAAAAGGGGGATGAATATTTTGCTGCCAGATAAGGAGATGTTCCTAAAGAGGCAAAAATATTTCTTTTTAATAATGGGGCAGAACATTTTGGGGAAACTAGGAAAGGCTGAGTGAAAATTAGTTTTCTAAATCTGTAGGTGGAGGCATTGTAAAGTGTTTGGCCTTTGGGATAGCATCAATACCAGTCACAATATGGGTCTTACTAGAAAAGGGTCTAGGGGATGAGAGTAAGGTACATTTATAAGTTCCAGAATCTAAAATAAAACACATTTTTATCTGTCGTGTCAAGAATTATTTAAGGCTCATCTAGGGTTGAGACGACTACTTTGTTGAGAAGAGCTTTGAGAGACCTCGAGCACATTTAATTTTTTAGAGCAGCCAAGCTAGGATTCGGTGGTCTTTCTCCCCTTTAGAGGACAGGATAGTATCGCTTCCAGTGTCTTCTCACTTCATAGTGGAGACACATCCCAGGTGAAGAAGCGCCCAGATTATTGTACTAAGTTTCTAGGCTCTTTATAGTGGTAGCAGTCATATAATCTTATTTTTCCTCTTTGTAGGTGGAGTCTTTGGGTGAATGCAGGGTTTTGTTTTTTACTATTAAAGCAATAAATTAGGCCTTTTTGGTGTTTGTTGCCGTTTCTCTTGGGCATTGCTACTTGTCACCATTTTATCTCTGTAGTTGAAGAGCCCAAAGGACAAGTTTAAAAGTTTTTTAATAGGGGTGTGAGGCCCCACAGCCTGTTTTTGAAGGTTGTTTTGGTGACTATTTGAGGCAGGCTGGTTAATAAAATATATTTTTGATAAAACTTTCCTGGTTGGTGAGTTGAGCTCAATATTAGTATATCTATGGAGGGTTTTTTAGTTAAATGCTCCAGAAATAAAGCAGGATTTTTTTTCTTTGTCTTGGGTAAGTTTTCTAATCTTTTTATAATTGACTGGCTTACTCATATACTTTTAAACTTTATTAATTAAATGAGCAACTATTTCATTACTTTTTGGGGCCTTCTGTCTAATTTGGTATTACCAATCAGGGTCTCTTTTAGGTACTGTAATTGCATTTACATATCTGTGATTATTTTGAGCATGTAGTTTATTGGCCTTAGCCTG